CTCCACCAGGCGTTATGTAATTCCGAGGTAGACAACTACGCGTTTTCTTGCTTACATCATCGAACCTCCAACGGGGCGCTTTTCAGCTGGCTGAGATCGGATCAGTACTTTATTTCCCGCATCGCTGTTTCAGTGCACGACGAACTTCAACGCTTATACAAATCAAACCCTATTCTATTGTTCTGCAAATAGCTATTTATCGGCAACTGTAATGGATTTCGTGAAGGGTAAGAAGTGTCGAACGGATTTATAGTTGTTACATATTATCTTTGGCAGATTTACAACTTTTGGGTCTCACGGGCTTTCTTTGAGAATCGAATGATGCCATAGAACCGTAGCAATCTGACTCTCGTAAAGGTGACATGAAGTTTTGTTTCCAATTCGAATGCTGTGTTTTGATTCACAACATCAGAAGCCAAAACGCAGGGTCGTGCTGATAAGTGTGAGTGAACAACGAAAGAAAACCACCTGTTCAGTGCACATTTCCAGTAATTAAAATAAACCCCTAATGAATGTTGCAGTACAGAGAAAATGTGGTGGACAAAAGTGCATTTGTGAACTATAGCTCACATCCCAGAAAACTGGGTAAACACGCATAATGCACTATGCTTGTAATATTTACGAGGTTACTCTAACTCTATCCTTCTAACACATCAGACTTATCTTTTCAGAGCTATGATCAGGGCAATGAATAGCTTCTAAACAGATTAGTTACGCGAATTCGGTTGAAAATATCACTTTTTCATAATGCAGATACAATAATAATAGTATGATAAAAATCTTCTTAGCACACTTTGCATATGGTGTGCATCAGCACAAGATTAGAAGCAATATTATGTGCACGCTGTTAACATTTCTTCCACTCCCCCCAGTCACTGCAACAATCTGGTGATTAAACAATTAGCTTTTGATGACTACAGAAGTTCAACGGACAACGAACATCATGACAGGGGGGTAGGTGATCGGAATCAGTATCACACTGATTCGACCCATTGCATCAGAAACGTTTGTACACACAGAATTGGATTAAGACACGTAAGTAACATCACGCACTGGGGCTAAGAACCTTGGATTCATGTTACGTAACAATGATGTGAACCTTTAGGATGCATCCAGCTGTTATAGAATGGTTGACCGTGGATTTCACCTATACGACTAGCCTATGAAATTTTTATGCATCATCTATTTTATGAAGCATTTGCGAATTGGAGACAGTTTTCGATTCGCTGTGCGTATGTAAGTGTCAGCGCAATTGTAAGTGAACTGAGAGATAACATGAGAAGTAGAATTCTGCGGTTAGCTATGTTTTCGGTTTTTACGCAAATTCCCTGAGTGCACGGTATCACTGAAAGCGGTGCGGCAGGAAATGTCTGACACAATGATGCCTCAAGCAATATTTTTATTGCCTGTTGGTATATTTTAGCTCTGGACTACACGGAAGATACCTCCAGTAGATGGCTCATTGATTTCGCGTATTGTGTAACCAGTGCGATTGCTCTGGGCTACCAGCCACGCCCAGAGAGGAGTTTGGCAGTTCGACTCCTGGGAGAGACAAAAAGAAGGTCACGTGTTGCTGGCGAGCTTTGATTACAAATCTATTATTATTACTATCACACTGAAATCATGGTGCTACTGTGAGAGTTCGTTTGTTCAAGCACCTAAATTGTTGGCTCCAAGTCAACATCTCAAATTGCCTAAGTTTACTCATCTACGTCAGCGCCCTTGCTTAGGTCGAATCCTCTCGAACCAAACCAAACAGAATACTTTGGTTTGTGAGTGCACATCCAAGACACCTTTATGATGATCAAATCTTGGACATCAAGTGAACTCTCTGGAGACCATAGACCCATCCACATATCAACTGACACAGCTACAAACGAATGAATTAAATTCCACAATATTGAACAGCTATATGGTTCAGTTTTCCTAAATCAAGGTAAACGAATGCCTTGAAATGTATCTTCGCGCTAGAGTGTACATAAGACGCTTATTAAGCCAAAAACAAAACTGGGCTTCACCGACTGCTAATCTCCCGTGCCTAATGCAGATACTGTGTGTCGAACCGAACACCATTCTTCACATACATGCCTAACAACGGCTGTGTTAGTCAAATCATCCACGTACTTACTACTAGGAGAGATGCAACGAAACTTCCGCTATTCAAAGTTCTCTATGTGCCTCTTGAGCACCCCTGTCCCGCTTCAAAATCATTATTGGACCTCTATTCGCATTTTTGGCAACAACAATAAAACAAAGCACGTCCAATGCAAGCTATTCACTCGTCTGCAGCATATTTGGTGTTGGGCCAAATTACAATTCTGTTGCACAGAAGAACGTCTGACCGGAATTCTGGTGCCTGGAATGCATTGTGTCAAATTGGTTAACTCGTTACCCAGTCCCAACGTCACAAAGTTCATTCACAGTTTTGTACTGTATGCAGAAAGAGAGCTAATTTGCCTATGGCTCTGCTATGCAAATCCGTTTGACAGAACATTGCCGACGGGACACACGTACGCACACGCCCGCGTGCCCAGACCTCGTCCTCACAGAGTTCGCTCGGTCAGTAAGTCATGAATAATCTTCCTGCCTAATCAGAATATTTTTCAGAGATATTTAGCTTGTGTAACTTCACACAGGAGATTGCATTGAATGAGGGATAGTGAATGACAGACTAAAATGATCGTGATCAGGTATCGGTTGGTGTAAGTTCGGGCTGTCTGGAATTAATATGGCGGTAAGTGGGCAAGATGTTCGTTTTATTGACATATAACACTAGCGGTGAAGCACTCTGATCCGGAAAGGCTTCCAGTAACAATGAACTGATAGATGTAAACCGCCTTTGTAAGCCATATGACTGTAAATTCTTAGGTAACTCAAATTGTAATAAAGGAATGGCGACAAGGATTCACTTTATCTGTTACGATACGTCCTCTAGTAGCTAATAATTGCTTTTCTACACAATTTTTTAAACTTCAAATATCGATTCATTGCAATCAGCGCTGCGATCAATTCCACGGAAGACAGTTAGCATAGCTCAGTCGATAGCCAATTGCTTAAAGCTATGTAATCTAGGTTGGCCACAAAGTTGAAAGTAGCCTCACATACAAAATCCAATATCAAAATATTGACCAATGTTATTCAAAGGTTGGAAAACAGTAATCAGAACGTGCATATAAACTTATAATAAGTTAAGTCGGTCGCGGTTTCCATAGCACAAATGAAAGGATACAGTTTGCAATAGCTGAAATTCAAAATGAAAGCCCCCTGATTAATACAATTACAACTACCCTCAAAAGCTTTATTCCGACCACGTGCAGGATTCACTCGAATCGAATTAGACACTAACAGATGTGACCATCTACCACGTTGTTTTGACTGTACCGCTTACTTGTATGAAACCAATGACGACAGGCGTTGCCCTGGTCGAGATACACGATTTCTTATACTTCCTCGAGAAAACCGATCTGATACGTTCCCGGTTTTTGGAGTGCACTTCAAGTAACCCTTTTGCATTGTGACCTGACAGGTTTTCGAGAACGAACACGTTCTTGATTGTGGTTCACCGGGTTTGCATTTCGTATTTTCTTTTGATGGTTCGTGTCAATGCAAAGAGTGCGCCGCTTATCTGCTGGAAAACCGACCTTTTTCTGTTTTCACATAAAAGTATTTTTCGTTCGGAACGGCATGTGTATACGATAGGGATCCGATAGTTTTGAACCGTTTTGAAGCAATATGAAATTTTGTCCTATATCACAATATGTCAATGCAAACAAGTTGATAATAAATATACTAAAACAATAATTAGAAGCTAATTGTAGACGACAACCAACTTGTCATATTTAGACAACAAGATTCCTCTAGCGGAAGTTGATGTAACGAAACTGTTTCATCCATCAAATTTATTATAAGTTTGGTAATAACTACATTAAATGTATCTGAAATTCACTTTAATGGTATCACTCGTTTGCTGGTTTTGTATTGCTCGAATTCACCCCAGGATTCTTTCCGGAGACAAAACTTGCATGAAGGTCATTACGTTTGATCTGTCCATTATATTAGACTAGTTGGATAAAATAATGGGACAATATGTGATACCCTGTGTTATTCGACAACACAAAATTCGCCTTAGAGGCACCGAATTCATGAGAGTAGATGTTGGTTCAACCATTGAACAAGGTTCATGTGGGATACATAATTTGGTGTACTGGGTGGTTCACATATAATTGCGAATCCCAAAATAAGGAATACAAAAAACCGCACCTGATCTCTTGATCTACATCTGATTTCCCCAATCTTGTCCATCGTTTACACTGATATGGTGCTTTTTCCAATGCAGTCCACAATGATCAATGAGAAAAAAAGGAATAAAATATTGCACGAACAGTCAATGAATCCCAGAGAGGATAACAATATGAACAAGCGAATTGTTCCCTAGGTCCCTAGGTTTCCTAGTTAGAAGGAATTTTAAAGATATAAAATTGGGTGCTGGGTTTCAAAAAGCTATGTAAATGGAAAACAAACGAAAGACGGAAATATATGCTCCTCATGTGAATGGGCCTCATACAGACAGTGCGGTCACCCGAGGCTGATGCGCTTTGGCAAAAGTCGGCATATTTCAGATGTACTAGTCTTGAGTTTGACCGAATCAGTTAAGAAGCAATTATGAACGAGTCTTGGTGTGTGTGGGTGTGTGTGTGAGGGTTTCGTGTTTCTGTTTTAAATAACGGCATCAAAATTCGAGACCAGGAACAGTCTACTAGTTCCAAACATTCTATTGCTATACCTGAACACATTGTGATGCTAAAGATAATGAAGCTTTATTATTTTTAAGTTATAAGAAACCTAATCGTCATCAAACGTTTTTGCGCACGCACTCGTTTCGTGTAAGTGAACTAAGTTTTGTTTGATTTCCGATCACGCTACAAATCGAGTCATTTTTTGGTCTATTTTAATTATTATAAAAACAACTGGTAAAATAAGATTAGAAAAATCATGGCAAGCTAAAAGATGAACATAATAAATAACTCAGAACTTTCAATGCTTGAACCGTCGTGGTTGTGAATTTGTGAATTTTTTTATGGTGATAAACAGTACTTGGAATCTGTTAAGAGAGCAGGGTAAGATGAGTACATTCTGCTTCAGTGACTGACATAGGAAATGGCTTAGCATCACGGACGTGTGGAGACTGATTGAATTTTTAGAAAACAATTGTACACCTTCATTCCCACACCACTCCTCCTCTCACCTCGTACAATCGAAGATTATTTGCAATGCTGAACTACGTCCATATAGGAAAACACACATATATATATATATATATATGTATATATGAATGAGCATAATGATGATAGACGGTAAGATAGACTCACCCCAATGTGGTCATGGTCACTATCGTGTACCACGATGAAGCTGGAATGCTGTAAAAAGTGGAGGTCTGATCGAATTTTTCAATATAGTAGATCACAGTGGCAAAAATGATCACAACCAATGTTAAACTGAACAGTAAAAAGCCCAGTTCCCGGGCACAGGATTGCAATGTGAATCCCAAAATTCGCAAACCCTGACTGTGACGAGAGAATTTGAATATGCGAAACACACGGAACACGCGTAACGTCACCAATGAGCCTGAGAAGTGTTTGTCTGCGGAGACAAACAGACCGATATAATAGGGTAAAATGGCTACCAGATCGATCAGAGCCATGATTGATCGAACATAGCGAAGACGTGACTCGGCCGCGTACAGCCGAACGAGATATTCTACTGTGAAAATGGCCACACACGCTGTGTCTACACAGAAAAACACATTCCCGTAAAGTTCACCGTAAGTTCGTGGATGATTTATATCCCCGGGTGAGGTGCCTGTAATTGTCTCTGCCATATTGGATAGCACGGACACAATGATGAAAAATCCGGTGGTGTAGTACACAACTTGAGCCGCATCATTGTAAGATGGATCGTCAAAAATATTGCGTAATTTCTGTCGACACGTGATCACTGTCTCGTCGGGTTGACGCAAAGGGAGGAGTTTATCAATTGCTCGATCTTTGATATCTCGACATCGATCCAGATATTCTTCGTAACAACAATCACCCAAGTGATCGGGAAGAATTTCAAAAAATTTCAATTCTTCCTCAAACGCGGAAGCACAAATGTTTTTCGGAAAGTGTAATGTTCCACTGTAGTAATAGCACATAATATATCGGAACAGTTCAGGATCACGGTCGAAAAAATATTCCTGGTTTTCTTCATCATAAAAGTATTCTTTTTCGTCTGAGCCTAAGAGTGTACTCGGGAACTGACGTACCGCGGCCGAGGACAATTCAAAACGGACACCGCTCACATTTATGGCCAAGTTCTTCTCCTCGCATGGTGGGGTTTCCACAAGACTCTGAATGAGATTCGGTGTGCCCAAAATCGGGGCTAGCCCCAAAGCACAAGTCTGTTTTAAAGGTAGCCAGCAAGGATCGTATTCCATGGATTTTGACCGTTCCGTACGCAACAGGTGAACATGTTCTCATTTAAATTTAATAAATTATTTATTTACGGTAATCATCAATTATAAAGAGAGTCTTTCAGCACGTTTAAAGATAAGTTCATTTGGTGCTTATTCCCGATTGTGTAGAATGAACCACGTGGGTTGAATGATAACAAGCTATTTCTTTCATATCAATGGGCCAATCAGCTGTTTTCTTAAGACCGACAACCCGACAATAAAATCAACCAATCAGATGACAGTTAGAGTCAAGGCGATGAAATCACACATGTGGACGAGCGTTTCCAATATGTACTCAAAAATGTACATATGTACGAACAACTGGCACCATGAGATCCTCAACCGCAATTCTCCTATTTTCAGGCGAATAAAATGTACGAATTTTTCCAAAAGAGTCCTGCAACCACACATTCTCAAACGCATTTAGGGTG